CCTTCCTTCCCCACCTGGAAATTATTAAGGAAAAAGAAAAAAAAAAGAGGATTTTTCACACTTTGGGGCTACAGCTGCTGCCCCCCACCCCCCAGCACAGAGCCCTTCTTGTGCCTCAGTTTCCCCACTTCGAGGTGCACACAATGGCCCCTTTATGTCTCCTACTTAATTAAGCTCTTCCCCTAATTACCCTGGCGGGAGGTTGGATTTTCTGGGGCTAAATGAGACCACCAGGAGGTTTCCACCAACCCCCTCCCAGCTTCTCCCACCCTTTCCTGACTTCACCATGAAGTGAAAGGCTGGAGGCAGTGCCCGGGGCAACTCGGGGCTTCGTGGTCCTGCTGGAATTCCCGGCAGTTGGTTTTGCCCCTGTATCTGCGGCCTCAGCTGGTGGGAGTTAAGGGCAAAGAGGGACACAGAGGGAGGAAGTGCCTGGTGCATCCCAGCTGCAGGAAGTGGAGGGATACGGTTGGGAGATGTTGGGATTGTCCATGTCCACCCAGGGCCATCTCTCCTCTCTCTATGCTCATGCACCATCTCTTCCAGCTCCTGTCCCATCTTTCCCAGATCATCTCCTTTCTCTCCAGGTTCGTGTCCTGTCTCTCCCATCTTGTGTTCTGTATCTCCTGCCTTGCTTCCCATCTCCATGCTTGTGTTCCTTCACTCCATGCCCATATCCCATCTTTCTGGCCTCATGTCTCCCATCTCATGTCCTGTCTCTCTGTGCTCATGTCCCATCTCTCCATGCCTGTGTCCTGTCTCTCCCAGCTTGTGTCCCACCTCTCCAAGCTCATATCCTGTCTGCCCACGCGTGTCCCTTCACTTCATGCTTGTACACCATCTCTTCAGGCTCATGTCCCATCTCTCCTGGATCATATGCCCTCTCTCACAGCTTGTGTCCCTTCTCTCCCAATTCCTGTTACTTCTCTCCATGCTCATGTCCCATCTCTCCATGCTCATGTCCCATCTCTCCATGCTCATGTCCCATCTCTCCATGCTCATGTCCCTTCAGTCCCAGCTTGTATCCTGTCTCTTCTGCTTGTGTCCTGGCTCAGCTCATGTCCAGTCTTTCCCAGATCATCTCTGGTCTCATTATTCTTGGGGGTCTTGGGGAGATGTTGGGTGGTGGTCGCTGGGTGAAGGTGCCCCAGGAAGGATGATGAAGGAGTGATGGCCAAGTCCTTGGTGTCCGTTTCATTGTGATTTTCCCAGCTCTATCCCCCACCCTGGTTATTCCTGAGCCTGGGAACCTGTGAGCCCTTGAAATTGTGCCTGGAGTCAGTGGGCAGTGAAGGTCCTTGGACTGGGACACCAGGGAAGCTGCTGTCCCATGGGTGCTGGGGGGTGGTCCAGGACCCTCTAGAGCCCCCCCTTGTGCGTCTCCAGAGGCATCAGCCCCCAAAGCCCTGGGCTGTGGGAGCTCATCATGTCAGGACACTTGTCTCCCCCTTTTGCCCAGCGTTGTGACTTTTCCCATCATCCCCCCCCTCTGGTGGGATCTCAAACCCCTTTAAACCTTCCTCCCAGGGCTGGGCGTCCCCCTCTCCCCCCCCCCCACCCCCACCCCCAACCTCACTCCCCCCCAA